AATATTGGAATATTTACAGATAAGATGATCTTATGTTTGTGATTTGCTGCAAAGTTATAGGAGGAGAGGAAGAAGTAAGTGAAGGGAGTGATAGATGAAAGAAGATAGGTACTGGCTGAGGTTGGGTAACAGGAGCTCATTGTATTATTCTCTTTACTTTTATATTCCTTTTAAGTTTTTCATAATAAGAAAGGTAAACCAACGCATTGTGAGATCCTGAATCCCAAAAGTGAAAGTGAAATCAAGCGAGGTACTGATAGATTAAATTAGGCTCAACATCTTTCATAGGTTTACACAGAGAGGTGGATTAACGCACGAAACTAGAGTTTCAGCAAGACTCGAAGGCTCTGGCCCAAGGTTCTGAAATTGGTACTCAGCAGGGCCTGGCTCTGAACCCAAGTCCTTGTGCCTTACGACTCGTACTTCTAACTCCCAAGCTATCTGTCTGCTGCGTATAGGTGTAGAAGAGTCAGATAAAGAGGAGAAAAAAAACCCACCTTATTTATTGATTGGTGTCTTTGTACCAGGCACTTGACACACCTATTATCTCATTTTAATCCCAACTTTAAACCTCTGGGTAGGCCTTTATGAACTCAAGTGTACAGAAGGTGACATGGAAGATGAGAAAAAGAAAAGAACTTTCTCAGAGTCCCATAGCCACTAAGTAAAGGATTGAGAGTATTCACTGGGCTCAGTCCGAAGTCAGCACATCCTGGAGCCACTCTCAGGACAATGAAAGAAATATATGTGCAAACAGGACATAGTCGGTTGTGCGATAACATGACGTTTGCACGAGTGTACTGCCTTCAAAGGATGGGAGAGGATCCCACCTTCATTCCTTCCACAAACTAGGGAGCTCCAAACTTGTGTTTTAACATAGGTTTTTGCAGCAAGAGCTTTTGGTGCTCCGCCTTGGCAAAGTGACACCCCCAGCGTCAGCTACTTCTGTCCGCTTTCAGGAACTCAGCCCACCCAGGACAGTGCGGAATTACAGGAGTTTGTGTGAGTGAGCATGTGTGTGTGTGTGAAGTTAACACTCTGGGGTGGGGTTTGGGAAGTTGGGGGTGGGGCAAGACCCTCCCCCACTGGGAGATGGGAGTCAGAAGAGAAATGCTCCAGGTTTCCATCTTTTGAAGAAACAATTCCAGCGCTGAGACACGGTTGGCCATTCTTCAGAAGGTCTGTGTTGCCCACAGAGATAACCAGCTCAGCATGTTATCTTTTCACTCCGTCTCGCATTCCCTGTTCCTTCGTGCTTGCTTCCATGATCACCTACCAGATGAAATCCCTACACCCAGCTTCTTGTCTCAGCTCTACTTCTGATGGAACTTAAACCTTTCTTTCTCAATAAAAAAAATTCTGAGTCCACTCCTAACGTATGTGTGTTTGTTCATTTATAAATTATATTCATGATTACCTCATTATATATACCATGAGCATACACTAAGATTCTGAAAGGGTGATATAAACATAAAATAGGAAATATTTTTAAAATAATTTTGAAAAGTTTCTGTTTTCAGTTTATTTGTTATAGTTTACACAATGTGGCAATATTATTTTCACTACTTACAAAATTTATAAAAGATAAATAGGCATTTATTGAGGATGCGTACTCTAAATATTCTTTTGTTTTGCACTCTAAATATTCTACTGAACGGTTGCACATTAAGAAATTGAGACACCACTGCTCTAGACTGGCTTTGGCCATTCTATTTTTTAAATAGACTTGCTTTTTTGAGAAACTTGAGGCTCACAACAAAATTGAGCAGAAAAGTCAGAGAATTCTCATATACCCCCTGCTCCCACACACGTACAACCTCCCCACTATCAACATCCCACACCAGAGTGGTACATTTCTTACAATCAATGACCCGACCTTGACACACCATCACCATCAAGTTCACAGTTTACATTAGGGTTCACTCTTGGGTACATTTTATAGGTTCAGGCAAATATAAAATGACAGGTGTCCACCAATATAGCACCATATAGACTAGTTTCACAGCCCTAAAGGAACCCCTGTCCCCGATCTGTTCGTCCTTCTTTCTCCCCTAACCCTGGGCAACCACTGATCTTTTTACTGTCTCTATCATTTGGCCTTTTCCAGAATGTCATATAGTTGGAAGTATACAGTGTGTAGTCTTTTCAGATTGGCTTCTTTCACTTAGAAATATGCATTTACATTTCCTCCATATCTTTCTATAGCTTGATTGCTCATTTCTTTTTAGCTGGATAATAGTCCGTTGTCTGGATGGGCCACAATTTATCCACTAACCTATTGAAGAATATCTTGGGTGCTTACAAGTTTTGGCAGTTATGAATAAGCTGCTGTAAACATCTCTATGTGGAGTTTCGTATGGCCATGAGTTTTCAACACTTTGGGGTAAATAACAAGGAACACAATTGTTTACATTGGTAAGAAACTGCCAAACTGTCTTGCAACATGGCTGCACCATCTTGCATTGCCACCAGCAATGAATGAGAGTTCCTGTTACTCCGTATCCTCACCAGCATTTGGTGTTATGGTATTGTCAGTGTTTTGGATTTTTCCCATTCTACTAGTTGTGTCATTGCATCTCAGCGTTGTTTTACTTTGCAGTTTCCTAATGACATGTGATATTGAGAATCTTTTCATATGCTTATGTGTCATCTGTATGTCTTTGTTGAGGTGTCTGTTCAGATATTTTGCCTATTTATTTACTTATTCAGACTTCTTAAAATTAAACATTTTAAAATTTTAAGGTAAGAATACTTTCACATGCATTTATAAGAAATTCTAAAGAGAAGTATCATGTTTCCTTTACCCATTTTCACCAAGGCTACTATAAAACAAAACAACACAAAATAATATTTTGCCCATTTTTGGATCGGGGTGTTTGTTTTCTCATTGTTTAATTTTAAGAGTTCTTTGCATATATTGGGTAAGAGTCCTCTATCAGGTATGTCTTTTACAGTTATTCTCCCCCAGCCTGAGGTTTGTCTTATTCTCTTGACCATGTCTTTCACAGAGTGAGATGTCTTACTTTGAATGAAATCTAGCTTATCAATGATTTCTTTCATGGATTGTACCTTTGATGTTGTACCTAAGTCATCACCAAACTCAAGATCATCTGGATTTTCTCCTATGTTATCTCCTGGGAGTTTTTTAGCTTTGCACTTTATGCCTAGGTCTATGGTCCATTTTGAGTTTCTGTAAAGGGTGTAAGGTCTGTGTCTAGGTTCTTTTTTTTTTTTTTTTTTTTTTGGTATGTGGATATTCAGTTGTTTCAGGACTGTTTGTTGAAAAGATGAAATTTTCTCCATAATATTGCCCATATTCCTTTGTCAAAGATCAGTTGACTATATTTGTGTACGTTTATTTCTGGGTTCTCTATTCTGTTCCACTGGTCTTTTTATCTGTTCTTCCACCAATACCACATAGTCTTGTTGTGAAGTCTTATTGTAGCTTTATAGTTAAGTTTTGGGATAGGATAGTGTCAATCTTCCAAATTTGTCTTTCTCCTTCAATACTGTTTTGGCTATTCTGAGTCTTTTGTGTCTCCATATAAACTTCAGAGTCATTTTGTTGATATTCACAAAATAACTTTCTGTGATTGCGATTGGGATTGTGTTGAATATATAGACCAAGTTGAGAAGAACTGACATCTTGGCAAGATTGAATGCTCTTATCCATGAACATAAATAAAACATCTCTTCAATTAATTTAGTTCTTTGATTTCTTTCCTCAGTATTCTATAGCTTTCCTCATATAGATCTAGTACATATATTATTAGATTTATATTTAAGTGTTTTGTTTTTGAAGGTGCTAATGTAAGTGGTATTGTGTTTGTTGTTTTTCTTTTTACACCAAAAGAATTTTATTCTATTTGCTTTATTATTATTATTTTTAGATTATTTATTTGTCAGAGAGAGAGAGAGAAAGTGCACACAAGCAGGGGGAGAGACAGGCAAAGGGAGAAGCAGGATCCCGGCTGAGCAAGGAGCCGGACATGGGACTCGATCCCAGGACCCCGGGATCAGGACCTGAGCCTAAGGCAGATGCTTAACCTACTGAGCCACCCAGGTGTCCCTTTTCATTACATTTTTAGTTTTCATTCCATTATAGTTAACATATGGTGTTATATTAGTCTTGGGTGTACAACAGAGTGATTCGCTAATTCTATACACTACTCAGTGCTCATCATAAGTGTATTCTTGAATTCCTATCACATATGTCACTAATGTCCCCACCCACCTCCGCTCTGATAACCATCAGTTTGTTCTCTATAGTTAGGAGTCTGATTCTTGGGGCACCTGGGTGACTCAGTGGGTTAAAGCCTCTGCCTTCAGCTCAGGTCATGATCCTAGGTTTCCTGGGATCAGGCTCTCTGCTCAGCAGGGAGCCTGCTTCCTCCTCTCTCTCTCTGTCCGCTTCTCTGCCTACTTGTGATCTTTGTCTGTCAAATAAATAAATAAAATCTTTTTTAAAAAAAGGGTCTGTTTCTTGGTTTGTCTCTTTCTCTCTCTTTTTTCCCCTCTCCTTATTTGTTTTGTTTCTTAAATTCCAGATAGGCGTGAAATCGTATGATATTTGTCTTTCTCTGTCTGACTTATTTTGCTTAGTATTATACTCTCTAGCTCCATCCATGTTGTTGAGAACGGCAAGATTTCATCCTTTTTTTATGGTGAGGTAATATTCCACTATATATATTCCATTCTTCTTTATCCATTTATCTATCAGTGGACACTTGGGCTGTTTCCATAATTTGGCTATTGTAAATAATGCTGCTATGAACATAAGTGTGCATGTATCCCTTTGAATTCGTGTTTTCGTATTTTTTGGGTAAATACCCCATGATATGACTACTGGATCACAGGCCAATTGTATTTTTAACTTTTTGAGGAAACTCTATACTGTTTCCCATAGTGACTGCATCAGTTTTCAATCCCACCAACATAGGAGGTATTGTATTTTTAATATCAAATTCCACTTGTTCACTGCTGGCATTTAGGATGGTCACTGACTTTTTTATATTAACCTTTTATCCTTCAGCCTTGCTGAAATCACTTATTACATCCAGGAGGGGGTTTTGTCTTTTGTTTTGTTTTGTTGTGAGTTCTCTCAGATTTTCTATGTAGGTAATCACGCCATCTGCAAACAGAGATCGTTTTATTTCTTCCATGCCAATCTGTATACTTTTTACTTCCTTTTCTTCTGTTATTGCACTATTTAGGGCTCCTAGTACAATATTTAAAAGGAGTGATGAGAGGGGACATCCTTGCCTTATTTCTGAACTGAATGAGAATGTTTTAATTTTCTCACTATTAAGTATGATGTTAGCTGTGGGAGGTTTTGGGGATTTTTTTTAAGATTTTATTTATTTATTTATTTATTTATTTGTGTGTGAGAGAGAGAGTAGGCACAAGCAGGCAGAGTGGCAGGCAGAGGCAGAGAGAGAAGCAGGATCCCTGCCGAGCAAGAAGCCCGATGCAGGACTTGATCCCAGAACCCTGGGATCATGACCTGAGCTGACAGCAGCGGCTTAACCAACTGAGCCACCCAGGTATCCCTGTAGGTTTTTTGGTAGATGTTCTTTATCAAGTTTCTACTCCTAGTTTACCAAGACTTTTTAATTATAAATGGGTGTTGGATTTTATCAAATGTTTTTTCTGCATATACTGATATAATTATATGTTTTCTCTGCTTTAGCTTGTTGATGTGATGGATTGATTACATTCATTGATTTTTGAATAATGACTCAGCCTTGCATACCTGGAATAAATCCCACTTGGTAAAAAATAATTTTTATTATTGTTAACTTTTTATTATGTTACATTATTATTCATTTGTATTATTAAACATGAACAAAAACCCTCTTTGATCATACTAAATTTACTTTATAAGCGAGAGCAATGCAATTGAATATGCTTTGTACTTCTTGAAAATCTTAGTTTACCACTTTGGTCTGGTGTTTAGTTTGTTTTGATAAAATTTGGCTTTAATGGTTTGACATGGGTGGAAAAGACATTGGCAAGGATATATACATTTAAAAGGAAGAAGTAGGGACGCCTGAGTGGCTCACTCTGTTATAAGCCCTCAGACTCTTGGTTTTGGCTCAGGTCATGATCTCAGGGTCCTGGGATCGAGTCCCACGTCCAGCTCCATGTTCAACGGAGAGCCTGCTTGAGGATTCTCTCTCTTGCTCTCCCTCCCCTCCCCATGCTAATGTTCTCTCTCTCGCTCTCAAATAAATAAATGAAACTTTTTTTAAAAAGAAAAGAAGATCATTGGTTGCATTGACTAATTACAACAATCATTTTATTTTTCTAGCCCTATGTCAGTCATGCAAAGGTTTTTGTTGAAAACTGGCTAGTGAATTTCTATCTTTTAATATCAAATTGTTCTAATAAAGCAACCAGAAGATGCATGTTTGAGAAATCTCTTTATTTGGAAAATAATGTAAACAAGACTGAAAAAATCTCATCTCTGTGTTTTTGACAAGTGTGCACGTAAGAAAGCTTTTATAAGTGTCACCCAAACACACTGTTTTCTACGACAGACCTGTACCTCTGAAGCAAATAATACATTCTATGTTAATAAAAATAAAAACACAATAGGGGAAACTTCCAAACATCTCTGCTCTCTCCATGGCATAGATTTGTTTCAAAAAATAATCTCTCCCTCATTGAAAAAAATATCCATTTTTAAATCTTAAAGAGCTAGATTATGTGCATTCATAAAAAGTTTCTCCTAAACAATAAACATTATGTTTACCGGTCATCCTAGGGAAAGTCAGCAAATTTGGAACCGTTATCGAAAGTAAAAGAAAAATCCAGAATTCATCGTTTAGTTTCACTCCTTTTAAAATTGCTTTTCCATAAGCTCTTCCATCTACCGTGGAAGCCATTTTCATGGTTTTGCCAATCCCATCAGGCAGTTTTATACACATTCTGCTGTTTAAGATAATATAATACACAACACCACCTAGCTGAGTATCCAAACTGCAAATCCTTACAATGCACAGATGCCAAGTCAGTAAGGGAGGATGCCACTGTATTTTTACACTTTCCTTTTAATTGAGATGAAATTCAAATAACACAAAATTGACCATTTTAACCATTTTCCAGCGTACAGTTCACCAGCTTGTAGCATATTCATAATGGTGTGTAACCATCACCACCAATTCTAGAACCCCCCAAAAGCAGCCTTGTACCCATCAAAGAGTCACTCCCCAGTCTGCCCTCTGCCCCTCCATTGCTCCATCTGTTTTCTATCCCCATTGCATTTTTGAAGCTCTTTCTTTTCCCTCAGAATACGGTGCCTACTGTGTGAAAATGCCAATTCAGCCAGCATATTAAATATCATCAAAGCCTATTTAATTTCCTCTTTACTTTTTTTAAGATTTTATTTATTTACTTGTCAGAAAGAGAGGGTGCACAAGCAGGGGGAGTGGCAGGCAGAGGGAGAGAGAGAAGCAGACCCCTTGCTGGGCAGGGAGCTCGATGCAAGGCTCGATCCCAGGACCCTGGAATCATCACCTGAGCTGAAGGAAGAGGTTTAACCAACTGAACCACCCAGGCGCCCCTCTTCCTCTTGAAAAATGAAAATTATGGGTCACCTGGGTGACTCAGTCAGTTAAGCTTCTGACTTTATCTCCGATTGTGATCTTGGGGTCCTGGGATGGAGCCCCTTATTGGGCTCTTTGCTCAGTGGGGAGTCTGACTCTCCCTCTCCCTCTGCCCCTTGCCCTACTGTGCTCCCTCTCTCTCTCAAATAAATAATAAAATCTTTTTAAAAAGTAAAAATAAAAATGAAAAATGAGAGAAATTCTAATGATTTCTTTCTGAAGACTGCAACAAGCCTTTAACTGAGCACAGTTCCCAGAATGCTGTAGGTGTTCTGCAACTCATTGTTGGATGAACAAAGCAATTTCCTTCTTTATTTTAAATCTTTCTCTTTGTCTCTCTCTTGAACACAAACACACACACACACACACACACACACACACACACACACCCCTTTCCCTTTTACGTATAAAACAAATTGAAGCTAATACGAACTTGTTACTTAAATTTCAGGTAGACTGAGAATTGCATTAGTCACCACGTTCCCTTCTAGGTCTAGAATTCCATGAGGACACGCACTGGTAGGGTGTACATCTACTGCTGTGTACCTGGAACGGCGGGGTTTTCCTGGGACACTGAAACAGTTTGGGGCAAACCAAGACAGGTTGTTCCCTCCGTCTACCTGGGCATCTATATCTTTGTTGGATGTCCTCATCAGAACCTCTGCCTTGGGGGTGTGGGTCCAAAGCTCCAGCTACCCAGTCTGCTGCATTTCCCTGTCTGCCCACTCTGTTCCTGGGGCGAGTCCTCCTTGGAGGAGGCAGGGGCAGTTATTATAAATAGGATCTGGGCCTTCCTGGCTTCCTAGCCAAATATCATCAAGATTGCATATTAATTTCTCAGACACCGCCAATCCTAACCTTGATTCAGCTTCACAGTCAATATTGTTGTTTTCCTTTTTAATTTGAAAATGCTTTTAGCAATGTCAGCTTCATGTCTACAGGGAGGTCGAGACCTCACAGCAGTTTCTAGATCCCTCCCAGGGACCTTTGAGCACTTTGGGGGTGTGGGGAGAAGGCTACATAAGTCACAGGATGTCTTCTCCATCTGTTACACCAGCCTCTTCACATCCAGAACATGCAGGGACCCAGCCCCCTGCCAGAGGCAACCATGACATTGGGAGTGTCTTCAGGATCATCTCAGAATTCCCAGGCCCTATGGCGGGGAATGAAATCACAACGTTATAATTATTTGACAAGCATAGTACAAGATTTTTCTTGGGGAGGGGACTATATTTATTAGTTATTTGTACACAAAAATGTTTAGAAAAGAAAGTTTAAAAAAAAGGGGCTTCGTATAAATCTCCCTTTTTATATAATCTTGGTAGATAGTTTGAAAAAGTAAAGTATATACAAGGTTCACAAATTTAAGCAGCCCAGAGCTGAACACAAAGATGAGCATTTCTCCCATTTTGCCTCCAGTGTCTCTCCAAAGGCAGCTACTGTTAATGTTTTTGTCCCTCCCTCCCCACCCCCCAAATTATTTAGGTATATACCAAGAAATCAATCAATCAATCAATCAGTCAGTCTATATCTATCTATCTTTCTATTCAAATTTCTATCCTTGTTTACACACAAAGAATCATTCCATACATACTCTTCTGCACCTTGAGTCTTAGAGATATTTCCACGGTAGCCCAGATGATCCTTTCTTGGTATTTCAAAATGACAACAAGAAGTATAGCATAATGGTTAAGAGCATAAACCCTGAAGCCAAAGGCAGGGAGAGCAGGAGGGAAAGAAGGAAGGAGAGGGAAAAGGTGGAGAAGAGAAAGAGAGAGAGCAAGAGCATGAGAGAGAAGAAGAAGAAGAAGAAAGAGGAGGAGGAGGAAGAGGAGAAGAAGGAAGAGGAGGAGGAGGAAGAAGAGAGGGAGGGGAAGGAAGAAGTGGAGGAAGTGGAGGAGGAGAGGGAGGAGGAGGACGACGACGACGATAACGGAGTCATGGAGCATAGAATGTCCATGTACATTCTGGAGGGTTCTATTCCAGAAAAGCTTTTATTCAGGAGAGGCTTTCTACCTCAAAGGAGCAGGCTTTATGCTAGATAGGTCTGCATGCCAGGCCTGATACCCCCCGCCCCAACCAAAATAGGTAAGGAGAGAAGGATCTAGGGAGAAGAGCAGATATGGCTCAGTAGATACCCTCAGGGCTGTAGAAACATTGTAAATCTTAATTTTACGTAAATCAGTTTAATTTCTACTATAATCCCATCATACTGGCTTGATAGGAAATAAAAATCTTTAGAAGCTACCACTACTCCTAGGGTGACGCCAAGGTTCTGTGGTGGTACACGTGACAAGACATCTGGGATCACCGATGAACAGACACGCATGTGCACACCTTTAAGTCGTCAGGTGAACTCTCTGCACTTGTTACAGTTGGGAAGTCCCTCCTCACAGCCTCCATGCTCCCATTTCCTCCCCGGGGTGCTTGGAGCACAGCAATCTTCTTGAGAGTGGGACCCCCCATGGCCAGAGGAAGCCTCCTTGCAGCACCCCACAGTCCTCTCCTGAGGTTTGTTTGGCTAAATCTCCGGGTCTCCTCTGTTCTCAGAAACCGCAAAATGTGGCCCCTTCTGGGTTTCCCTGGCTCTTTTTTCTCCAGGTCACTGCCTTAAGGCACACCCCCCTCTTTTCCTGTGGCCCCCATGCCATGCCACATTGTCAACCTCAGCTGTCTCCACTGCCAACTGCCCCTGAGGTGAAGAAGCCCAGGGTCTCATTATCAGCTGGGAACAGGAAAGGGAGAAGGGAAAAGACATATGAGGAGAGGGAGGATATAAATTAGTACTTCAGAAATGACCTTGTCACATTAAGAAGGAACTTGAACAGTTTTTCTGAAACACCTATGACTATTCAGAGATGTTGTAATAAATGGGTTATTTTTATTTTTCAGGTACGAAAATCAGTCCATCATTCTTGGATTTTCCCAGTTTCACCATCAAGCAGTCACAATATCTACCGTGAGGAGCCTGTGCTCACTTCTGACAGGACTGCCGATACAGGCCAAAGCAGCTTTGAGTGTCAATATGGCACAAGGTTTGGGGTGTATAATGCTCAGTCTTGGTCAGAAGAGGAAGTGAAGCTTCATAGACCTCGGTCCGGGTTTAATTCTGAGTGTTCATGTAGGGAGACAAACATCTCATTACTCATACAGGATGACACAAAGAAAGTTCTGGACTAATTTCCACCAAACCTCTTCCTCTCATACCACAGAGCAGTCAGGGACTTCTTGGGCAGTCCAAGCCAGAAGGGAAATTCAGTCTGGCCTGAGGAGGACGTTTTGTGTCCGTGTGGTCCTGAGTGGACTCTTGCATGGGCCATTCTGGAATAATCTAGAACTCAACACTTTCAGACTATCCCTGGACCCTCTCTCCTGAAAGCCCACTGAAGGCAGGCCTGGGTCTTGCCTGACGTTGTATTCCCCCATGCCTTTACAGCACTTGGCACACAGCAAGGGTGTACACAGTCTTAGCCGAATGAGGGAATATATGGAGAAAAGAATGAATGGGCATGTCAGAGTAAAACAGCAATGGTGCACGCAAAACCACAACAATCAAGACGATCTCCGTAAGAATGCCGTTCATCCCCGACAGCCCTCCTGGGGCAGAAGCAGAAGCATATTCAGTCCAGAGCTGGTGTTCATACTGGGCAGCGCCCTACCCACTGGGGGGGGGGGGGCAGTGGGGGGAGGGAAGTGGAGGGGTGGGAAGAAGCTGGTGCCTTCAAGAGTGAGCAAAGCATGGCCCCGGCCAGCGGAGTCCCAGCAGTAAATGTCTACCTCTGCCGTGTCCTGACACTCTTAGCTGATTTATTCCCCTTTTTTATGATCTGAGGATTCTCACATTGCTCATACCTTACTCGTTTGAGCTATAGAGACAGCAGGGTCTGACAAGTGGCCCGTTGGAGCTCAGAAGGGATGGGTGGCCATGGAGACTTGGCTTCACTCAGAGGGGTCACCTTACTATTTCACTCTCTTGGGGAAACTTACAACTTTGAAAATTCTAATTTCCACCCGGTTCCCAGATTCCACCCCCGCCCCCCTGCCCCACGACTGCCTGCCACACCCTGCCACCTCTGACCCTGGGGGCTAGGTAAATTATATTGCCTACTAATTGAGTGCACTGCTCCTACCGCGCAGTAATGAGTCAGAGGGACTTGGCCGTGTCTGCTCTTCTGGCTTTACTCCTCTCATAAACATTCAGTGACAAACTTTTTCTTTGGCCTGGGGTCATAAAGAGGAAAAAATCCCTCTTAACTTTTTTTTTCCAACTTAAGACTTCAGTGAAATATTTTCCACCATCCTCAGCAAGACATAATACTTCATGTCATGAATAAGTTAATGAGAAAAATATGAAGCCCTCCCCCAGTGTCTCAGGGACCCATTGGGCATTTTGCCCCTCCGAGGACCAGTTACTTACTCTCCAAGGCTTTGGGGCTCCCTGAGAAGTCTCTGGGTTGAGTTTCATCCCAAGGCCCTGGGGATTAGTCTGTCTCTCAGCCGGCTGCAATTGCATTTACCTTGAACTTGGACATCTCTCCCTAGAGAAACTTGCTTAGAATTCCCTGAGGAGCTGTCAGGTGGGTGAATGGCCCAGAGAAAGCACTGCCAAGTGCCAACTATGAAGTACTTCAATATGGCCCTTTTCATATTTTATTTCATCTCTGGGTCAAAAATGTGCTTACCTAAAGAAGAGTGGCCAGACCGTTTAGCGAGGCCCTCAGCTGGTTCCCTACCATCTGGCCCCAACCTGCCTTGGCAATATTACTTTCCACAGCCCCTTTCCAGCTCTAAGCAAACAATATTACCACCGCTGCCTGAACTCTCCTCCTGCCGAAAAAGCTCTTCCCTTCAACCAAGCTAAATCCTTCTTCTTTAGGAAAGATGGCTGGGTAATAAATTAGGGCTTCTTCACACTGATATTCTTTAAATATTTACTCTATGTTTTTAGTGTGTGTGATGGAGGGAAAAGCTGGTGTTTTTACTAATACAAATAATATAAAGAAACAGATTCACTTTCTAATTCCCTTCCAAGGGCTAAACAGAGTCAATGTTCTAGAAAAAAAAAATCAACTAAATCTTTCTGTATTTTTAAATCATTTCTGTTCTCTCCAGTTTTCTTTTGTAATTTCCCAAGTCACATAACTTTTGGGGAAGCACATTATGAAGTTTGAAACACAGCTTATGAAATCTATCACTCTTTCTTAGTAGACAGTCCCTGCCAAACACCATTCAAATTCAGAAGTTTATTTGACCATTCACGTTGGATGGCCAAAATTAATGAGAAAGGAAACAACGTGTGTTGGAGAGGATGTGGAGAAAGGGGAACCCTCTTACGCTGTTGGTGGGAATGCAAGTTGGTGCAGCCACTTTGGAAAACAGTGTGGAGATTCCTTAAGAAATTAAAAATAGAGCTTCCCTATGACCCTGCAATTGCACTACTGGGTATTTACCCCAAAGATACAGATGTAGTGAAAAGAAGGGCCATCTGTACCCCAATGTTCATAGCAGCAATGGCCACGGTCGCCAAACTGTGGAAAGAACCAAGATGCCCTTCAACAGACGAATGGATAAGGAAGATGTGGTCCATATATACTATGGAGTATTATGCCTCCATCAGAAAGCATGAATACCCAACTTTTCTATCAACATGGACGGGACTGGAAGAGATTATGCTGAGTGAAATAAGTCAAGCAGAGAGAGTCAATAATCATATGGTTTCACT